GGCTGAATAAAAGTAATGCGGTACTATATAACTAAAAATAGGAAATGGAATGAGAGAGCGTATCAGGCCGTTAGTAGTGGCGTTGTAGTGAGCCGCAGGTTCTCTCTACGGTAAGCTACTGCATCAGGCAGGTTAAACAAGTAAATAAATGAGGTACACGATAAAGTAAGCTTGTTCTAGGCTAACAATTAGTTCCACCTTAAAAACTTTCAGCGGAGAAATCTCGCGGGGCTGAAGGGATCCAGATTCACTGTTGTAGACCTCCCTTCTAAAATAAGCTCGGCAAGGGCCGCTCCAGTGGCCGGAGCGTTGAGAATACCCCAGCAGCTGTGGCCGGTGGCAACGTAGCAGTTCTTGGCACCAGGAATCTCCCCAATGACCGGCAAGCTATCAACGGTGCAAGGCAAGAAACAAGCCTGCTCTGCCAGAGTCTCCGCAACGCCAGCTTTCAGGTGGCTCGACACTCTGCCAGCAATCTGATGCAGCATTGCGATTGACTCTGGCTCGCCCACAATATCCTCTGGATTGTCAGGTGGAGTAGCCTCCTTTGATAGCCCGCATATGTAAACTTCTCCTGTTTGATAAATTTTAATTGAAAGCAGTGATTAATGTTCCCTATCAACAGATCTTTTTAGGATTTAAAAATAAAAACAAACATTCATTCTCATCTCAGCAAATGTTATTCATCTTTTTTGTTACCTGAGGGTCTAGGGTAGACCTCCGGGTCCAGGGTCTTGCCTCCGGGAGAAGGCTGGTAGCTGAGGAAGAGCGCATGGGGGCTAATGACAGCAGGCTCCTGCGGCCGGAGCACGATGCTATGCGCCTTGAGGCCAGAGACATGGAAGAGGTCGGAAATTATCTGCAAGCGAGTCGACCACGGTCCAAGCGCAATCACCACCACATCCGCCGGCAAGATCCTCCCATCTCGAAGCCGAACACCGGTTCCCTCGGCTTCAACATTCTGCACCTCTCCAAACACCACCTGAACTCCATAATCCGCCGTAGCCAACGACAAAACTGCTTTCGTGAATAGCTGGGGATGAACTTGCGCTGTCGTCTCTAGGGTTCCGATCGTCCGCGGCCGTGCGACGCCGGAGCCATCAATCCAGGAGGGAAGCGCTGGCGCTCGCGATCTAGCCGCGCCGGATGCGGAGAGTGGGAGTGAGAGAGTCGTTAGGGCCCGGTATCCGTAGGCGCTGGGGCCGTCGAGGAGATCAGCAAGGGATCGGTGGAGAAGGAAGCTGGCACGGGCCAGATCAGCGACGGGAGTGCCGTCACACCAATCGAGGGCTAGAAAACCGCCGGCCTTGCCGGAGGCGGCGCAAGCGATGGAGGATCTCTCGACGACGGTGACGGAGACCCTGGTGGTGCCCTTGGAAGCAAGGAAGTAGGCGGTGCAGACGCCGATGACTCCGCCGCCGCATATTACTATGCGGCGAGGGAAGGATGTGTTTGATCCGTTGGTGGCGGTGGTAGAGGCCGTGGCCATGGCGGGGATGAACGGAGCTATGGGTAGGCGGTACTGCGCGACAGGACAGATTAGCGGTGGCATCGAAGGATTCGAGGTGACGGCAAATAGCGGTAGCGCCGTAGCGGTTGGCTGATATTTCATATTTGTCGATTAGGAGAAATTAACTAATCATATATTATACAATTTTTAAATAAATTAACATTTTCAAAATTAATTGAATATCATTAAATCACTATATCAAATTTTCTTTAATATTATCAGAAATTAGTGAATAAAATACAAATTTTCTGAAGTATTCCCGCAAATGTGAAAAGGACACCTAAAATTTATATTTACTTTGCTTCTTTTTAATAATTAACATCTAATTTTTTAATATAGAAATGGTAACTGAAATTTATTTGTTTAATTATTGAATATACATCCATTTTTTAATTAAAATAATGAACAGAAAATAACAAAGAGCTCAGTGATCTTGACATTTATTACTATACCGTAATATAATCTTTAACAAATTTATCGTTTCA